GACACCTATAGCTGGTGGAATATTGCTAAACTGATATGGCGCTATGGATTGTCGCCCATTCGCACTCAGAGCTTAATGAAAAGCACAGTCAACAAGTTTCTCCGGCTTTATGACTCGCCTTATTTCCCATTCAGATCGCTTACCTCGGCTGCGGCCGCAGTTGACTTGCTGAATAGCACGTCAATCCCGGGAGATGTTTTTCTTCAGAACGGTGGCATATCCACTGACTTTTCGCGAGACGTGATCCAAGCGAGCACGCGGGTCAACTACGGGCAGAATCTACCTCTGATGCACGGGCTCGAGACGATGGTTTGCATGGCTACGGACGGACCAGTTTCTATCGAGGGCGGCAATTGGCAGATTTTCGATGGCATGCTGAGGAACTCTCAGGTCGATGTCAGAGTCAATCACAGCGTGACATCCATTCAGCGGAATGCCGATGGCACATTGACCGTCGGGTTCAAGGCTACCGAAGTCGAAGAAAGCTCCGTGTTTGACGAGGTGGTTATCGCCGGTCCATTACAATATTCAGGCATCACCATCGAACCGCCTCTCGAGCACGTCCCCGACGAAATCCCTTACGTCAAGCTCCATGTGACCCTCTTCTCCTCACCACATCGCATTTCTCCACGATTCTTCAAAATCACCTCTAACAGTTGTGCTCCCGAGACCGTTCTTACGACGCTTCCCCGCGGGGTAGATCTGGGCTCCAGCAAAGCAGGCGTCGGCCCAGCCGGTTTCTGGAGCATCAGCACCCTTCGCACCGTGCAAGCTCCACGTAGCGACGGCACCCATGAGAAACATTACGTGTACAAGGTGTTCTCGCCCGAGCGTCTCACGGCGTCGTTCGTGGGAGCTATCCTGGGTCTTGAGCACAAAGGATACTCCGCTAATTCGACTATCGGGGACCTTCCAAAGGACGATGTAAGCTGGCACCATGAGAAAATCTGGAACCCGTACCCGTTCCTCTACCCGCGGGTTACCTTCGAGGACACAATGCTCGCGCCGAATATCTGGTACACGGGCGGCATTGAGAGTTTCATCTCGACCATGGAAACCAGTGCCCTGATGGGTAAGAACGTTGCTGCGCTCATCTCGCAGTCATGGGAGGATCAGAAAGGCAGCGATAGCCAGGAGACGATTCATCAGGAAAAGACTGAGCTCTGAGAGATTTCGATCTATTTGCGTTAGTTTTGCCTGTCAGTCACTGTAGGTATAGGAAGTGCCTTGGATAGTATACAAATGCGTGCCCACCATGATGGAAATGAGGATTGTGAGCAAAACAATCCTTCCCCTGATCAGGTTACCCTAATGGTATTTCTAGAACATGGTCATGTAATTCTAATTCACTCCCGTGTTGGAAAAGAAGCTGAGAGTGAAGAGCACTTTGAGGGCTCGCAGCTCGGCAGCACTGGAAGTAGACAGACGAGGACAGTTGGATTACATAACGGTTAGATGATTATGGAATGGAAGATCTTTGAAGTCATTAATCTTTCTAGTTCATTCATAGACTAGTCAAGATAATTGATGGTACCAGATGTTAGAAACAAAAGATACCCGGACAGTGAACCTCTCGTCCTGTTGAAGAAATGTTGAATACTTGTTCATGCTCATGTATACCGTATCCCATGACCCGCGTGAGGTTGAAAAAGCAGACCTGTAAAAACCCCAGTAACGTACTCCCGGCAACCCAATTTTATACGCAATGATGTTGAACTCGTCAAAAGCCTGAATAAAACCAGAAAAGCATATTTTGGTATCATGTTAAATTATTCGCTCTGCCATGGTGTTTAAACAGGCAGAGGGAAGGTGCTGGCCCACTCGGCGACCTCCTTGCGGAGAGCGAGGATCTCGGGAACAGACTCGGAGGCAACCTTGGCCTTGAAGTCCTTCAGCTTGTTGGCCTCCTTGGGCAGGTCAGCCTGGATGCTCTTGCAGAGGTTGATGACCTGGTCAATGTAGCGAGCGACGCGCTTGAAGTCCTCCTCGCCCATACCACGGCTGGTCATAGCGGGAGCACCGATACGGATACCGCAGGGAGTCAGAGCAGACTTGTCACCAGGGATGGAGTTCTTGTTGCAGGCAATGTTGATCTGCTCGAGGACAGCCTCGACACGAGCACCATCAAGACTCTTGGGGCGGAGGTCCAGCAGGACCATGTGGCTGTCGGTGCCGTCAGAGACGAGCTTGTGGCCGAGAGCCTTGAACTCGTGCTCAAGAGCCTTGGCGTTCTTGATGACCTGCTCCTGGTATTGACGGAACTCAGGGGTGGCAGCCTGCTTGAGGGCAACAGCCAGAGCAGTGATGGTGTGGTTGTGGGGACCACCCTGGTGACCAGGGAAGACGGAGAAGTTGATAGGACCCTCAAGGTCATACATGATATCCTTGCCGGTCTTGGGGTCAGTGCTGCGCACGCCCTTGCGGAAGAAGATCATGGCACCACGGGGACCACGGAGAGACTTGTGGGTGGTGGTGGTAACGACATCAGCGTGCTCGAAGGGAGAAGGAATGACACCGGCGGCAATCAGACCGGAGATGTGAGCCATGTCGACGATCAGGTAGGCGCCAACCTTGTCGGCAATCTTGCGCATACGGGCGTAGTCAATGAGACGGCAGTAGGCAGAAGTACCGGCAACCAAGCACTTGGGGCGGTAGAGCTCAGCGTTGGCCTCGAGGGTATCGTAGTCAATGATGCCGGTCTCGGTGTTGACGCGGTAGGGGAAGGTCTCGAAGTAGGTAGAAACGGCGGAAATCCTGAGCAAGTTAACACACGGTCGACAACAGAAGACGCTCGCTAGATGAGAAGACCTACTTTCTGGCAGGAGTCTGGTAACCGTGACTCAAGTGACCTCCGTGGGGAAGATCCAGACCCATGAGACGTTCATGGGGGCGCATCAGAGCCTGGTAGACCTGGAGGTTGGCAGGGCTACCACTGAGGCACTGAACGTTGACGCCCCACTTCTCGGGGTCGAGGTTGAAGGCCTTCAGGGCACGAGCCTGGCAGGTGAGCTCAATGGCATCAATGTGCTGGTTACCACCGTAGTAACGAGCACCGGGGTAACCCTCAGAGTACTTGTTGCACATGGGAGAGCCGAGAGCATCGAAAACGGCACGGGAAGTGACGTTCTCAGAGGCAATCAGGAGGATGGACTCGCGCTGACGCTGGATCTCTTTTTCCTGATGAGAGAAGCAACAATTAGCCGAAACAGCCCAGCCTTTTTCATCCTCAATCTCAAATAGAGGACGAGCAAACGGGGTAAGAACATACCATGATCTGAGCGATCTCGGGGTCGGACTCGACCAGAGACTTCTCCATTTGCTACGACAAATGAGTCAGTACTGTGAGCTCGTTAGACAAATCTTAAGGTGGTGGTTTTACCTCGCGGTGAGCCTGCGACAAAGCGTAGGTGGCCATTGTGAGTGATGATATTGTCCAAATGAAGAAAAAAGAATGGACAAGAGGATGAAGTGAGGTTGATAGGGATGAGGAGAGAAGGAAAGGGAGGAGGGAAAAAAGATGGGGAAGAAGGCGAAGAAAAGAGGACAAGAAAATCCGATGATGGTGGGGGGGTGGGCGGGACAGGTGCCTCAGGAACTCAAAGAGTGGCCACCGCTAAAAAGACTGCTGCTGTTCGGGTCCGGAACGACATCGGAGGTCGATGGAGTCAACCTGGGTCCTCACCGGCGTTTCTTAGCAAAGGCTCGCATTGGCCCGGAGAAAATTTGTTCTTCAGATTGAAAGTCATCAAACTCAATGAGTGCTAGCTTTATTCTTGACTAATTGTGATTAGTACCTCTCGCCCACGTCTTAATCTCAATATGTCAATCTCCGGACGCTTGCCACTTGTCAAAGTTGTCATTGGAGATTCAAGGCAGGGACCAGATCTAATAGAACATTTGCCTCTACGAATTGGAAAATAACGCCGAATCGAATCAATCGATATCAATTGCTTCAATACTAAAGTGTACCTAGTAGTCTGACCGTTTCTTCCAGGAATCTCGGTAGTCAGACTGTCAGAGAGTCAGGTGACTCGCAAAGTTTTGAGATTGCAACCGTGGTTTCCTGGCGATCTGATCCGTAAGATTCTCTCTCCTCGTTGATGTTGTCTCGTGCGCATTGATAGAACAATTAAGACTCTCCTAAGTATGCAAGGTAATGTAAACGTACGGTGGTCCTGATCCAAGAGGCACCAGCAATTGACGGCCGCCCAATGTAGGCAGCAAGGATCCATCGGTGCTCAAGTAGATAGAGGTCTCAGCGACAGTGCTTTTGTCCTTCAGGTCGGTATCGACAGTTGCGAGGGTTGCCTGTCGACCTCCAGGTCGCGAGGCACCTCAACCCAACCGTCAGCATTTGCCGACGACTCAAGGGAGCCAGCCGAGTTCTGTGCTTAGGAAGTCTCAGCTACCTGGTCGGAAGTGTCAACAACGAGAGTCTGGGTGACACAGCAGCTATTTACGCTGTGGCAGGCCAGTACCGATCAGGCAGGTATCTGCGGGCTAGGGCTAGCGAGTATGCACCCTCTGTTTTGCCTGCAGGGGGTGAAACGGGGACCGTGGTGGCTGAGTTTGTATTGAGCCCCACGAGAAGGGTCAAATCATAGTCCTAAACTGATCAATTGTCAAGGACCAGTGCAATGTTCTTGTCTTGCTGGTATGCTAATCTTTTCCTCGTGAAGTGAGGTGATACCCTCAAAGCCAGCCATCGAAGAGGGAGTGAAAGAGCCGAAGAAACATGTCTGTAGCAACATCTTTGAGCCAAGGTTGACCCAGCAGCTGGTGTCACGACACTATGGAGAGCTTGTATATTGTCTCAGTGGATTTCTGGCCAAAGTCAGGGCGTCATGTACTATCTGCCGAGCAGGCATAATGAGATCAACAGCCAATTGTACTTCACAGTCTGCTCGAGGCGACTCAAGCCCAATGGGAATTGCTGCTTGCAAGGTCGACAAGTCTATTGCACAGACTCGTCTTTCTCTTCATGCCGTTGATCCAGACCATCAAGCCCCTGTGTTTGCCCTCTTCCCAAATTCTGAAAGGACCAATTTCAAGCTGGCGATACGATTCTCGAGCTCCTCAATCTCCCCCTCCTGCTCAGCGACCGAGCGGTCGATGTCAGGTAGGCTTTCAACGACCGCGTGCGCCTTTTGAATGCGAATTTTGATCGAGCTTGCCGCTGTCGGCAAATTTTTCGCACTTAAAGGCGCAAGTCCATTTCCTGCTGCCGGATTCTGTTGCTGAACCCCTTGGCCTGCACCAGACGACCCTGATGGCGCTTGTCCGCCTGCTTCACCAGCAGTTCTTGGACCGCCTTCACCAGCGGTTTGTGCCGAAAGAAGTCGCAGAAGAAGACCATGCAGCGGAGGAATTATGTCGAATGTCTGCGGCGGAGGGAAAGGAACTGGTTGTGGTGCTGTGTTCGTCGTATCCTTTACCATAGGGGTTTCGGGTGCAGACGAGGGTTTTCGCAGCGGAGTGACCGCGGTCGGTGACCTGGACGCCATTGCGGGTTCTCAGGCTAAGGAATCAGGTAAATAACCTGGAGACGCTTCGGTTATCAAGATGATAATTAATCCCTGTGTCCAATGGGTAATATTAATGGGGTCATAGGGAAGAGCCGGAACGAGACCAAGGCGGACGAGAACGCACGGGGAAAGAAGATGATTAACTAAGGGAAGAAGCGTGACGTCGGCGAAAGAGAAGGAAAAGCGAGAACCAACTCCAAAAGCGTCACCGGGAAGAAACGCTGCCCCTCCCCCTCCATAGTAGTCAAGGTAATTATCATACTAAGAGCAACAGCAATTGTTTTTCACCGGCCTGCCTTTTCTTTTCTCTCTCTCTTTCTTTCTCATTCTCCCATCCAGTCAATTCTCCTGACATCGATATCTCGCTTCTTTTTTTGTGAGTTACATCGAATTGTCCTCAAAGAATCATTTCATCCCATCAACTTGGTTGTCAAATTCACTCAATTGACTAACTCTCAGACTAGCTTCACAATGGCCAAGGTTGACCAAAAAGTCGTTCTGAGTAAGCTCTCCACGATAGTGCGCTACATCAAGTCGATCGCTAATGTCGAATAGTCGTCATCGACGGTTGGGGTATCCCAGGCCCCAACTCTCCCAAGGACGGAGATGCGATCGCTGCCGCGGAGACACCCTACATGTCCGGCTTTGCCGAAGACAACTCGAAGACCGCTCAAGGATATACCGAGCTGGATGCCTCGTCGCTGGCCGTCGGTCTGCCAGAGGGTTTGATGGGCAACAGTGAGGTTGGCCATCTGAACATCGGTGCTGGTCGTGTCGTCTGGCAGGACAGCGTTCGCATTGATCAGACCCTCAAGAAGGGTGAACTGAACAAGGTCGACAACATTGTCAAGTCCTTCACCCGTGCCAAGGAGGGCAATGGTCGTCTGCACCTGCTGGGTCTGGTCTCTGATGGTGGTGTTCACTCGAACATCACTCACCTGGTTGGTCTGTTGAAGGTCGCCAAGGAGATGGAGATCCCTCATGTCTTCATTCACTTCTTCGGTGACGGCCGTGATACCGACCCCAAGAGCGCTACCAAGTACATGCAGGACTTGCTCGATCACACCAAGGAGATCGGCGTTGGGGAGATTGCCACGGTGGTTGGACGCTACTACGCCATGGACCGCGACAAGCGTTGGGACCGAGTCGAAATTGCCATGAAGGGTATTGTCTCCGGTGAGGGCGAGGAGAGCTCTGATCCCGTGAAGACTATCAAGGAGCGCTATGAGAAGGGTGAGAACGATGAGTTCCTCAAGCCAATCATTGTTGGCGGCAAGGAAAGGCGTGTGCAAGGTATGTTTCAGGGGGAAATTGGAAGACAATTGCTCGAGAACTGACCGTATCTTCCAGACGACGATACCCTCTTCTTCTTCAACTACCGTTCGGACCGTGTCCGTGAGATTACCCAGCTGCTGGGTGACTATGACCGCTCTCCCAAGCCCGACTTCCCTTACCCCAAGAACATTCACATCACCACCATGACCCAGTACAAGACCGACTACACATTCCCCGTCGCCTTCCCCCCTCAGCACATGGGCAATGTGCTGGCCGAGTGGCTCAGCAAGAAGGACGTCCAGCAGTGCCACGTCGCTGAGACCGAGAAGTACGCCCACGTCACTTTCTTCTTCAACGGAGGTATCGAGAAGCAGTTCCCTGGTGAGGTGCGCGATATGATCCCCTCGCCCAAGGTTCCTACCTACGACCATGAGCCCGAGATGAGCGCCGAAGCCGTCGGCAAGAAGATGGCCGAGCGCATCGCAGAGGGAAAATTCGAGTTCGTCATGAACAACTTCGCTCCTCCCGACATGGTCGGTCACACCGGTGTGTACGAGGCCGCCATCAAGGGCGTCGCTGCCACCGACAAGGCCATTGGTGAAATCTACGAGGCCTGCAAGAAGCACGGATACGTCCTGTTCATTACCGCTGATCACGGGTAGGTTGCTTCCGTTTCCATCCTTTTGACTTTCTCTTCCAGGCTAACATACATCTTTCCCAGTAACGCTGAGGAGATGCTCAACGAGAAGGGCACTCCCAAGACCTCCCACACGACCAACAAGGTTCCCTTCGTCCTTGCCAACGCCCCCGAGGGCTGGAGCCTCAAGAAGGAGGAGGGTGTCCTGGGAGACGTTGCCCCCACCGTCCTTGCCGCTATGGGTATCGAACAGCCCGAGGAGATGTCGGGCAGGAGTCTCCTGGTTAAGGCCTAGATAACTCGTCCATAGAATCTTTTCCTTTTTTTGGTTAAAAATGGCTATTTCCAGCTGGTAATGAATACATGAATCAAGATACTTTGTTTCTTTTTACACACCGAGACCGAATCTCAGAACGCCAAATGCGCCGGGTCCCAAGACATTCCGTTCCGGAGCCTCCCCGTGCTGGTTCTATCTTCATCATCATTGGGTTGTCTTAGCACAAGTATAAGAGATCCATATAACAACCAGATCTCTCGATAATAGAATCGGATGAGAAAAAAAGAGAATAAAAAAGAAGAAGTTAAGGAAAATCCCCATTTTGAACCACATGACATCACACTTCACGCGGCCTGCTCAAAGCCCCGTCTAATCACGCGGCCGAACATATCCACACCCACGCGCTCGCTCTTCACCTCGCTGCGCACCTCGTTCTCCTTGTTCGAGGGCACCTTGATAACGGTCCCGTTCGGGCCAGCCCTGTCAACCTCCCAGCTGCAGACCTCAGTGACGAACTTCTCGAGCGCCTCCCGGCTGCGCAGGTCGAGCCACTGCTCCAGCACCTCGGCGTTGATCTCCCGGAAGGCCTTGCCGACCTCCACGGCGATGCGGATGCGCACGAGCTCCTCGAAGCCGGCGACGTCGGCGACCAGGTCGGCGTACAGGTCATCGGAGTTCAGGGTCGACCAGAACTGGGCGTACTGGGCGGACTCGAGGAGGGTGGACAGGCGGGCGAGCTTCTGGACGGATTCGACGAAGTCGGAGGTCTGGGAGGCGTCGGCGTCGGCGGTGGGGAAGGGCTGGGTGTGGGCGGGGAGAAGGGCAAGGCAGAGGGAGAAAGCGGGCGAGGGGAAGACGGTGAGGGCCTTGGCGAGGATGTTGGTGACGGTTTCGGGCTGGAGGAGGTGAGGGTTGAATTGGTAGCTGTTTTGGAAGGGGGACTTCTTGTCAGTAACGGAAGGTCATGAGCAAGGTCGGGGAGATAGAGCTAGCTGAATGGGACAGATGGTCTGGTTTTTTTTTTTTTGTTTGTTTTCAGAACATGTGTTTTGTCTCAGCATTCATCCCCAGGGGGATGTCAGGTAATAGGAAACGTGATTATGAAGAAAAACAAGGTTGTTCATCATGTTCGTCCCGTGCGGTCTGAACACCCCCGCGTGGGAATCCAGGGCGAGCGCGGTGGTTTGGGAGCGACGAGAGATGCAACTCACAGCTTCAGCAGAGCCAGATTGGCGTAGCAGTCGAATGTGCGCTCTTCGCATTGCTGGACAACATAGTCTTGGAATACTGTGGTGGTCTCGGGGTTGTATCTGTCCAGGCCGTTGAGGATGGCGTCAATATGCGCCGGCCGCGTGTCACACTTGTCAAAAGCGACACCCATTTTGTCGAGTCGGTCGTCTGAGTGTATGGAGAGGAGGAGTTGAGGAGGTTCAGCTGGCACAGACGGCGGCAATGCAGGTGGGTTTATCGTGATCGCTATTGCGGGATGGTCTTTTTTTGGTGGGTTTTTTGGGTTGTCTGTTCTGCTGTGCGGCGGTCGATCGGAAGAACTATCCGAAAAGTAGAGTTTCTCCGACGCAGCAGACAATCCGGAGTATGTTCGGGTCAACAACCAAGCATCATGATTGTCTGTCTGCATCCATCCCCCTCATCCGTCGACTTTGGGATATAGTCTGGTTGATCATCCCTTACCCGCAGGTTGATGATGGAAGATAATGCTTGTTTTCCCGTTTGATGTGACATTATGTCTGTAGCACGGTCACGACCCCTCTTCTTCAGAATGATATGCGTCCTGGTCACATTCCTGTTTTGCTCAACGATGTGCTGCGGCCAGGGCTATATATGCATGTTCTCTCCTCGGTTTCTTGAATCTTGTGAGATTGGTGTTTCGGTTCAGTGGCAAGGAAATTCTCCTATAATAGGTCTACAACGCATTACAATTGGAAAATTTGTCTCAAATCATGCGACTTCTTCTTCTCAGCCAGCTGTTTCACTGGCTTTTGGCTTTGGCAGCAACGGCTTCTGCGTGGTCTTCTGTCGATTACTCCCAGTATGTAAATGTTCTGATGGGGTCAGAAGGCCCTTATCCTGGCCAAGGCTACGGAGGAGGCGATATATTCGTTGGAGGTGCGCGACCCTTTGGAATGGCCAAAGTGGGAATAGACACGACGGCCGCAAACTGGAGCATTGCTGTGCTGAACGGCGGATGGACTCCTGATGGCAATGTGACCGCAATCAGTATGTGATTTGCTCGAATTTGGCTGGTTGTTCTTGACTGACATGGCCAGGCATGATGCATGAAAGCGGTACAGGCGGTGCTCCGAAATATGGGATCATTCCGCAGATGCCTCTGACAACTGTGTCGCCTCCTGTCAATATCCTGGATAATCTCACATACAGTCAGCCCAGAGTCGGTCAGGATACAGCCAGTGTAGGCTATTTCAAGACCCAGCTGCAAAATGGTGTTCAGGTAGAGCTTTCCGCTTCCAGTCACGCCGGGATTGTTCAGTACTCGTTTCCTCAGGGTGAGAAGCATGTGCTTGTGGATGTATCTCACTATCTGCCCGGTTCTCCTGGAGACCCGAATGGCCAATTTTATGTTGGCGGAGAGATCACAATTGAAGAGAACGGTAGAGCTTACAGCGGATATGGGACGTACGTTGGCGGATGGAACAATGGAGCGGCCTTCACAGTCTATTTTTATGGAGAATTTTCCATGAAGCCTACAATGGCTCGAACCTTTACTGGAAAAAATACAGATCCCATGCCACGATACCAGAATCTCGCCAATGGCGCTATGAGCGAGCCAACATACGGGAACGTATCGGATAAGGCAACATCAGGGCCTATGAATGACCGTGTTGGCGCTCTTTTCAGCTGGGACGAGAATGCAAATCCACAAATCGTCTCGCGAATTGGGATCTCGTTTATATCGCCTGAGAGGGCTCAGTCGTATATTGAGTCCGAGATCCCATCGTGGACACTCAATGACACCGTCAAAGCTGCCGTTGCTGAATGGAATCAGGAGGTCCTCAGCAAAGTCCAGGTGCCACTTGACAGTACTGCAAACATCACCCACGTGCGGCTGCTCTACAGCTCCCTGTATTTCATGCATTTGATGCCTTCTAACCGGACTGGGGAGAACCCACTCTGGCAGTCGGGGGAGCCGTACTGGGACGACTTTTATACTCTCTGTCAGTATACATGGAGGCTTCCTGATTATGTACTTACTTGTTTCAGGGGACATATTCCGCTGCACTGTGAGCTTCTATCATATCTTCCAGCCTACCTATTACGAATCCATGATCCGTGGTCTCATTGACATATGGAGGCAAGGCCACCGTTGAGTAGACAGAATCTTGGAGTTTGGAGCTAACCAAGGTAATAGGCATCAAGGCTTCCTGCCCGACGGGCGCTCGGGCAATTGGAACGGACTGGTGCAAGGCGGCTCCAACGCTGACAATGTCCTTGCCGATGCGTACGTCAAAGGATTGCGTGGCGCAATCAATTGGACAGACGGGTATGCAGCGATGAAGACGGACGCCGAAGTCATCCCATACAATACATGGGACCCTACCGATCTATCTGCGAGCACCAAGGAGGGTCGAGGGGCGTTGGGGGACTGGCTTGAACTGGGCTATGTCTCTGAGGATCGAAACACACGCTGCATCTCGCGGACTGTCGAGTACAGTCTGAATGACTTTGCCTTGAGCCAAGTAGCCAGCGGGGAGATGCCCGGTGATCGCGAAAAGTATCTGAAGAGATCAGCGGGATGGCAGAAGATATGGAATCCAGACGTTGAGAGCTTGAACTTCACTGGGTTTCTAGCCCCAAAGTTTTCGAACGGCGAGTTCAACAATAGCGGATACGACCCGCTTTACTGTTACGAGTGCGAATGGCATGCGTATACTTATGAAGCCGTACCATGGGGTAAGTGCGGTATTGCGTCCTGAGGTCTGTACTGATCACCGTCTTCAGAGTACTCCTTCGTGATTCCACATGATATGGAGACTTTAATCGAGTTCATGGGCGGGCCAGACACTTTTGAATCCCGGCTAGACACGATGGTAAGCGCGCTGTGAGACCTGGTTACTTGAGGATTGTGCTCATGTTGTGTAGTTCAAACCCAATCTGTCAGTTCAGAGCCTTGGGCCGAACGGCGCGGGCATATCGACACTCATCAACATTGGGTACGTCCTGCCATTGATCAACCGTCCAAAAGCTGATATCAGGCAGGAATGAGCCTGATTTTGCGACACCGTACCTCTACAACTATATCAACAAACAAGCGAAAAGCGTTCAGATGTCCCGCCGCCTGGGATTGCAGTAGTAAGCGCACTGTCCATTCACTCGACAGGCCGCTGACCATATTGCCCTGCAGCTTCAAGGACGCACCCTACGGAGTGCCAGGAAACAGCGATGCAGGCGCCATGAACTCATGGCTCCTGTGGCAGATGCTTGGCATCTACCCAGTCGTCACGCAACCGGTCTACCTGATCTCGTCGCCCTGGTTCCCCGATCTGAACATGACGATCAACGGGAACCAGACATTGAGAATTACTGCGACGGGTTTAACTCAGGGCTTTTATGTGCAAAGCGTCAAGATCAACGGGCAAGCGTGGACAAAGAACTGGTTCGAGCACGAGGATATCATGGCACAAGGCGGGACTATTGAGTTTGAACTAGGTGCTGAGATGAAGGACTGGGAGACTGGTAGCGTGCCACCGTCGCCTGGACATGTCGGGGCATAAGTGGCATGAAATTGGGTGTACGGGGTAGTGTCTCAGGTAGGGCTACGACATGACCTCGCCTGACCGTTCATAAGCTTCACTCAGCAGGGAGTTGCTCTCTGCTGTTGTCTATCCAAGCCAGGAGCGTTCAGGCGTCCAAGACGGCACATTCTACCTGTCATTTAGACCACCACTCATAAGGGGTCAATGTAACAGCTTCTCTGAGCATCAAAATCTGGTCACATCTCGGCATCTGCTCTGTTGCCATTTTTCGAATGAAGAGCTAGTTATGACCAACGGGAGCGAGTACCGCGAAGCCTTTTCTTACAGGGGCTTCGTATGGTAGCATCTAGATGTTGTCGCAATCATGGTCGTATACCCAGATGGCTGAAGTAGTTGAAGTAGTTGAAGTAGTTGAAGGGAAATTAGAAGCACATCAGACAAGCAGTGCTATAAACAGCTCTGTTGAATCTGGTCGCTAGCTTGTATCGTGGTGATGGATTGCGTCACTGGCGCTGCGGATGGCTAGTGTTCGGATTCTTGGAGGGGAGAGACCACATGTGATTGACCCTTGAGTCTCGGAAAAGCCCGCCAGAGCATTGGAGGAGAGAGGGAGGGAATCAAATCAGGTACGCGATCAAGACGTAACGGTCATGGCAGTGAGTTTAATGCAATGCACGACAGACCCTTTAACGATCGCACGATGCGATGCATCAGGTAGGGACCTTTTCCCCCTCTCCACTCCATGTGAGAGACAGCCTTCGGAGCCAATTCCAAGCCGAATCTGCCAATGCTCACGCCCATTGGTAGCCGTAGCCGTAGCCGGACGATTTCCCAGTTTCAAGATTCGGGGCGGGCTAAAAGGTACATGGACGGTGGTGATCGCTTCTTTTCCCCCCCGGTCGAGGAAGACGTGCCATTGACGTCAGCGCGGGACAGGCGGATATTTAGAACGGACGGAGGGACAAAGGGGAAGAAGTTGTTCTCATCTTATATATATTCATTCCGTCGTCGTTCAGCCCTTCCTCTTCTTGAGGTGCCTGTCTCTCGTTTGTTTGACGTGAGAGTCAATCTCAGCTCCGTCGCTCCAAGATCCTCGGCATCCACACGAAGCCGTCGCCACACCTGTAGAGGGATACAGATCTGATCAAATTCATCGAGCGGATCACTCTCGCCTCCCGGACCTGATATCACTTATCAAACACATTCCCATTATGGTAAGTTGTTTGCCTCCTCATCTCTGGATCACTCCGCAACGGCCCGAGTCGCAGAACCATGGAATGGATGCTACCAAGAATCAAAAGCTGACCCTCGCATAGGCACCTATTCTGTCCAACATCCTCCAAGTCCGCCAATCCTCCTCTTCATCCGACAGCTGCAATTGCCCCAGCAGCATCTCGGGCGGTGGCATTGCGGGGATCGTCATCGGCACCATCGCAGGCACCCTGCTGATTATCTGGCTCTTCCGCGTCTGCTCGTTGCCTGGAGCTTGGGGGGGTGGGGAACCCGATTATGGATACAGCGGGGGAGGGGGGACGGAGGTTCGCTCGACGCATCGTCGTCGACGGAGTAGTCCGTCTTATGTGGAATATGTCGAGAAGCCGAGCCGTTCGCGGAGATACCGGGAGGATGTTCGGAGGCCGGCCAAGGTATATCTGAATTAAGGAGTCGATGGGGCTATAAGGGTTGGCCATCTGTTTCCGGCGCTCTGGTATGATTGTATGTGTATGTGTATGTGTAATGATAATGAGGAATGATCCTGGTCATGAGATGAGCCATGATGAGATGGGTATGGATTGCTTGGGATTTGGAGTTGGGGAATGATATGAAGTTTTTACGACATTTGATGTGTTGTACAGTGTCTCTTACTGTACATTCCAAGGCATCAAGTGGGCCAGAATAATACATCGAGGTCAGCTTGAGACGAGAACTCCTGCTAGATATGGAACATGAGATCTGTGCCCGAATCTGTGTTATTCTAAGACTGACGAACCAAGAGTCTTTGTCAAGGTGAACATCCCCTGAACTACTATTGATAAGAATGGGTCTCCCTTCTAAATATATCCCTTGATTCTCGATAGCCAGTTAGCCACCCTCGCCACAATTGATATGACTCGAGCCGTGGAGCCATGGGCACAGACAACTTCAACTAGCAAGGTGAACGGTCAAGTAGATAGACTAGATAGATAGACTATGGAGGAGGAAAGATGGATACTGGTGATGGAGTCATGTCTCACAGAACAATTTATCCTAGGCATCATCATTTCTCGGCAGTTACCTATTAATTTAGTGAATATACAGAGTACTGATAGGATAATATTACGATTCATTTAAAGATCGAGATTGAAGAAATGATATCCATACATTGACAGATGAGGCAGCCATTTTCGAAGGATTATTAAAAGTTACACTGTTACACGCACAAACAGTGGACAGGTAAATTAAGTAACAAACCCCTGCTCTCTTGGCCAGGGTTTAGCCTGCTCTTATCTCCAGCAAGTGGCCGTATCAGCCAATCATGACAGAGCAAACCCCAATGCGTCTTGGGCCATCCCACATCCGGCAAGGCTCAGGAACAATCCGAGAAGACTTTCCCCAAAGCGGACTAGATCTGCTCCCGGCCCCACCGTCCAAGAGCAGCCGGTTTCCTTGTTGGTGTCTGATTTTACCCCTGAAACAGCTCGACTCTACCTATTTTCATAGCAGTATTAGCAACACAGTACTAACTTAAGGTGCTGCTGGCTGCAGAAAAGATACCTAGTAGTACTAGTAGTGCAGAACTGCGGCAGGAGAAGTGGCTATATGCTAATTAAATTAGTGCCATCCGTTTTATTACGCTCTACTCAACTCTCGCCGCCATGCCCGTCTCCGGTCTTTCTCTCCTCTGTTCGTCTCAGCTTCCCCTCCGGATCCTGTCTGTCCTTCTCTTCGCTTTTGCTCTACATCTTCTACTTGCGGGTGGGCTGAAGACGCCTCGTGCGACTCGATCGCACGTCCATTCCTTCCAATCGTCCGGATCTGTCACTCTTTACTGCCCACAATCATCAACATAAATTCCCCCCAGCTGTCTCGTCCTGCTTTAGCTGAAGCATTATACATTCGGCCTGTTTTGGCTGCCATTCACTTTACATAAGATACATACTTCGACCACCACCAACAGATCTAGACAGACACAGAGATACTCTGTAAGGCCCACTGACCATGTCGTTTCTCTACCTCGTGGCCCTCTTGGTGGCCAGCATCTGTTCGGTGACCGCTCAGACATGGACATCGTGCAACCCTCTCAACGAGACCTGTCCGGCTGATCCAGCCCTGGGTATCAACACTACATTCACTTTCAATCAGACTCTCGACGATACCATCTGGAACGTCACCAACGGAGCCTTGACGCACACCAGCAAGGGAACCGAATTCACCATCACAGGAGAGAATCAGTCGCCCACAATGCAGTCAACCTTCTACATCTTCTTCGGTATTGTCGAGTCCCATGTCAAGATGGCCAAGGGCGCCGGTATCATTAGCAGTATCGTGCTGCAGTCGGACGACCTGGACGAGATTGACTGGGAATGGGTGGGTTACAACACCAGCGAGGTCCAATCCAACTATTTCGGCAAGGGTAACGATACCTCATTCGACCGCGGCGGGTATCACTATGTTCCCAATGCGGATACGGAATTCCACAACTACACCACCCACTGGACGGCCGAGAAACTGGAGTGGTGGATCGACGGCAATCTCGTCCGGACCCTGAAATACGAAGACGCCCTCGACGGCAAGAATTACCCCCAGACCCCTTGCAACCTCCGTTATGGCATCTGGCCTGCTGGTATCAAGTCGAATCAGATCGGCACGATCGAATGGGCAGGTGGTCTGGTTGATTACTCGAATGCCCCTTTTACCATGGTCCTCCAGAGCGTCCGTGTGCATGATTTCCACACCGGCAAGGAGTACAATTATACCGATCACTCGGGATCATGGGAGAGCATCGATGTCATCTCGTAAGTCATTTTCGTTGTTCTGCCACAGCAAATACTAATCCGATATTGACAGGGGTAACTCCACCGTTGCCAACGCGATCCTCAACCCGCCGAAATCCTTGGCCGAGAAGTGGGCCGAACTACCGACCGGAGCCAAGGCCGGTGTATACATCGGGGCCGGGTGCGTTGGTGCCGCCATGATCGCCGGATTTATCTTCTTCTTCATCGCCCAGCGCAAGAAGGGCCGTCTCGAACACGCGCTCGAGGATGCCAAGTGGGCCAATGAACGCACCGAAATGAGCACTTTCCAGAACGATTGGAAGCAGAGCGAGTGGAAACACAAGGGATACCAGCCGGTCAATTAATCCGCCCGGCCCGCGTGCGACAACACAAAACGACCCCCTGCATGTTTTCACAGCCGTTGCGTTGCAACTGGTCTCTCTACGGTTCCGCTCAGCAAGGGATGCACCCCACCTTGCTGCTCTCCTTTCTTTCCGCTCTGCATGGTGTTTCAGAGACCTACCGTTTTACCCCCGTGCTGTCTTTGCTGGTCAAACCGGCGCGGATGGTATTCGCGGGACTCGGGGTTCGGGCGTCTGTTTGGTAGACCTACATTATTGCCGTCGAATCTTTTCCATCTCCTCATGTCCATGTCTCCTGACTCTTCTCGTCATTTTGGTCGTCTCGGCTTCGGAAGAGGCTTTGTTCTCTGGCTTTGTATTCGTATATACCAATGTGCATTGTATTTGGATTATTTGTCTTTCGCTCAATTATAGCATTCATTGACTTGTCCTTTTAAATACGTGCACTTCACTTGACGAATTCAGCATCTCTCGCGCAAGTATACAAACAGCAGACTCATACATGTACATGAGACCCAACACGCTACAACCACCTCTTCTCATCCGACCCCAATGGCTTAGGCATAACGTCCCAGCCCACGTCGACCCCCTCAACAGACGCCGAGTGCTTGACAAACGTCATCTCCCCGAACCCCGTCTGCCTCGTCTCCAGGTACTCCCCCGGCACATCCGCCGGACCGGTATAATCCTTCCCCTGGAACCCCGTGGAGCCCTCGTACTGCCCCAGCGACCGCAGATACTTCATCACCCCGGCCAGCGACACCTCCACCTCCCACGACCCCCCCTCCGTAGCCTGCTTGTACAGCGCAGCCTGGACCCCCGCCGCAAGGAAGTACCCCGCCGCATGGTCCAGCACCTGGCAC